TCATTTCCGGGTCAGGTTGAAGTTAATCATGGCGGTAAAACTGCAAATTCTCCGAAAAAGTGCTTGATTGGATGTATTAGACGAATGATTACACAATTAATCATGATGGATTACTTAATTACAATTCAAACGGAAGCTATCGCCGGAGATCCCTGGAAAAAATAGCGAAAGTAAGTGTTGAAAATCTTCATTTGAAATTTGGCGGTACCGGTAGTGCTCTGACGAAGCTTCTTCCCTTGTGTATGTTTATGTGTGTTGTGACCCGTATCAGTATAGCATATGTGTGATTGTAACGTGGCCCTGTGATCAATGTATACTCTGTAATATGTGACCTCTTGTTACGCACGTAAAGGTGTGGCGTGAGTACTAGTGTTAAAATAAAACTTGTCAAACATGTCAAACTTGAGTAGTTGATCGTCAAAAAATCGTATATAAGGTTAACTTATTGACTTTGAATTAATTAAGTTTTGTTTAAACTTATTTAAACTTTAACTCTGAAGGACAAACTATGAATTTCAACTAAACTAAAAAAATGCAAAGCTTTTGGTGTCAGAATAATTGACGCGCCAACGATAATTCGAGTATATTGGTATGTTTAGGGGAATAGTAATGAAGATGGGCATGAATATATGACAACATTTTATTTAACTTGCTTTAAACTGATTGAAAAGTGTTTTCCTATATTCATGTTCTTAAAACAGCAATAAAAGTCAAAAGTATATAGACCAGGTTGAAATAATGCAGTTTAGTTAGTTAGGTTAGCCAGCATTGTGATTTTAACATAAAATCTACAGGAGGTATTGTTTTAATAAATATATTTATAATTTTCAGTTCAATTTAAAACTTACGTGATTTTGCTATTTTTTTAATGTATTTGTATCCTATTAAAAAAATAATGCGTAGTGAGTGAACAAAAATACAAAAAATTTCAATGATAGAATATTTTTTTTCAAGTTATTTTAAATATACTTCTAAGATCAGAATCTAATGAAACCATTTTTTTTAATGATAACAAATCATTATGATAATCATGCATTTTTATTTTGTGAACTATCATTAATTTGTATAACGTTATATAATTAAAAAAAAATGATTCTTATGTACATGCATGTAGAACCGTGTTCTCGTCGCAAAGCCTGGTAACATTCTTATAAATGTAAGAATGGCTAAGAGTGACGAAGCTTGACAGAGCACGGGTACGGGAGAAAACGAAGCACCCGCGATCTTCGCTCGTGACCATAACAAAGTTGATATTTTTCATGCGAAAAAAGTATCATTGAATGTAATATAATGACAAACAATAATGCATTTTTGTTTTGTGGAACTGAAATTAATACGCCATTAGACTCTATTTGACTCGATTTACTGCGGCGTACAAGTTTTACCCTCTTGGAATATACATTATCGTCGATTTCTAAACTATCAGATGATTCAATATTTTTTTTATAAGTGTCACATTTAGAAAATAATGTTTGAAATTATTGTATAATTTAAAAGAAAATATAAACGATTACGTTAATGAGATATTATAATATCTTTATATTCCTGGTACGGGTTTTTAGTCCGGGACCGGGAACGGCGTACAAGATTTACCTACCACCCGATCGCGAGAGTTTGAGCTGGACTTGGTCTAGTCACTGACAGGAGCTACCACCTTGTGTGTATTATGGCATGTACGACAGGTAAACTGCTTTCTATCATTTTAATGACTTATACATGTAATGCATTTTGTTGTATTTTATTCGTTGTTAGTATACACAAGTGACCGTATTATACAATACTTCTGGTTTACATGTATAAAACTTGAGAATAGCCTACATTCATGAGTATGAGTATAACCACTGATAGGGAAGTAAAAATGTCACCCTTGTAGATACACACATTGTGTGTAACAGGAAACCAAAGTGCGGATTGTTCTGTGTTATGGATATCCTCACGGTTTATGACTCTATCATCCTCCCAAACATGTTTTGATTTGTCTGTCGCGGGTACTTTTTTCGGGAGGATTGATATACATATTGTTTATTAACTATTACGTAATTCCTTTTATCAGACAATAATCGAGGAGAAGGCTAGGACAATAATTGCAGGTCACGGTACATATTAATTACATACTTGGAACTTTGATGTAAGTGCAAAAATACTATGTTAAGGACTTCCCACCCTTCGTAATACACATGTTTTGCTTGTCGTATATTCGTGTCGTTATTTCCGTATTGCGTGTCGGGCATTCCATTACCGTAGTGTAAATTATAGTAACACCGGGTAAACAATAGTACACGTGCGTGACGTGATAAACACCCGATATCGAGACTTAACTTCGAAATGTGTAATCACACGTACTTCAGAAGTAAAGCTTATGATACAAAGACATCAATTAAATCACGGGAAGACACTGACATAAGATCAGACGACTTCACTGTACATATGTGCACGCGCTAACAGTAGTTCACAAGCTCAAGGTCGCTATGACTTTTGTTGTCGAACGAGTTACGCTCTGTCAGATAAATCATTTCACAAATGCAATTACAATAACTCTGTGAAAATAGTGGTTTGTAAAATATCAAGATCCCTATAAAATGCAAGTGCATGTGCGTGCACACCATGCGATAGCCTATGGCTACATATATGTACCTGACATGTAAAAATACAATGCGTATGCGGACAATGGAATGATATTCAAAGTGTACATGATTGAGAGTTATTTTGTTCCATAAAAGAGCAGTAAATTGACAATTAAATATAGTAATTTAATTGAATTCCGTCGTTTTTGGTATAGTTTCTATCCCTCTGCAAAAAGTTCCGATTTTGTTCAAGGTAGACAACTCTCATCAGGATCAAAATTATTGTAAAATGCAAAATAAATTAATTATAAAGGCTTTGTGTGTATTTGGTTCAATTTTTTCACTCTTTTTGTATGAAACTATGTGTCCTGTTTGCTTTTAGCTTAAATATACTAACTTTTATCCATACAATTTCAATAAAAAACACTTTTTGTAACATGTTGCCTCTTTAACTGATTAACCTGTTTGAGTCCCCGAATGTTTCGTACGTTTATAGGTGTATTTTGGTAAAATGAATTCGTAAAAGTAATCGATACATCCAATATCAAGATATTTATGGGTGGAAGATTCAACGGTTTTAATTATTTGAACACCTATATGATCATACTCACTTTATTTAGACATGTATTATTGTCGAAAAGAAGTGGGGAGTGGGCACAGGTTGTAAAACGTATGAAAGCTCTCCACTACAAAATCATACAATTGTTATGTTATACATAGGATGACATCAGCATAGAAATATAAACAAAGTCATTATTGTTGTTGGTCCAGCTGTTCCTTCTGTGAATATAGGAAATCAGCTGTCGAACAAAACGTGAACAAAGTTAGGATGAACAATAATACCACAGTGTCAATAAAAATTGACAAAATATAAATAGTAAGATAAATAGAACAAGAGGAATTTAGAAGACAAAAATATGGAGAATACATAGAAAAGACACCAAGCAAGCATTGGAAAGACCGTCAAATCATGGGAGGAATCTAGGCCATTGAAAAACCAGGAAATAGTGAACTTAATTGTAATGGCATACAAATATACCGTCAAGGGAAAATCAGAGGGTGACGGCGATCCTAGCTTTATTTGATAAGGTGGGTCCAAGCCTCTCAGTAGGATACACGATACTGGCTAAGTAGTTTAATAGGAAACAACATATCTAGATTTTCAGGGCAGAACCAACTGATGAGAGGTATCGGAGGTATCGATAATGTTAATCAAACCCAAGGGATAAAATATTGAACAGGAGACCCGAGGCTTTGCCGAGGGTCTTTTGCTCTATATTTTATCCCGAGGGTTTGATTAACCTTATCCTTACCTCACATCAGGGATGGATTCTATTTCTTGCTTATTACCTAAAACCCGTAAAAAAACAGCTGCTTTTCCAGTAAAGTTGTAAATTGTCCGCACATTTCTCATTTCCATATGAAGCCCGGATGGCAATTGTTAGACGTCAATGACCCTGACTGAACCCAAAACGTCATGAAATGACGTCACGAACAATAGCGTGACCCCAAAAGGTCACTATAATTCCCCCCCGCCAGTCTGCATGTGTAAGCGATCTAGACCCGTGGGTCGGATATAATTTTCCAGCACCGCCGGAAATGCGGATATCTCGGTCTAGTATGCAAGTGTAGTGTATCCCTCTCTGTGGGTCACTTCCATAACTAGGAGGCTAAAGTGTTGCAATATATCAGCAATATATACATTTTTATATAAATCAATCAATGGAATAGTGTTTTGCATAATAACGTATGTCAGTCAAATCATTCGCTCACTACCGTTAGTGAAAATAAAATAATCGATCGCTTGATAGCTGTGCTGTCTGCAAAATTTTCACCATGTTCTGTAACTGCAAGAAGATTTACTTACATTATTTTACATCAACGTCTGTTTACGTTCTGTCAGCCTATTCTACATAACATTAGTACTACTTCCTATGAAGTACTCAAATTGTGGTGAAAACATTTATCTGCTACATCTATCATAATACTATGATTATGACGTCGAGCCTCGGTATTCAAAATCATATTGATGTTGGATAGAAGCGCATTTTGGTAAACGATTCCTGATCCTGACGACAGTTACAGGGATAACAGAATCGGATCTCAAAAAATAAGACTACAACCTGATTGTCACAGTACTAATTACTGTGACTAGAACAATAACTTTGTGCTTTTGTTTAGCTTAAACCAGGAAACAAGTCCGTTTTCCAGTTTTCCAGTAATATAAATTGCTGCTTTACATACGCAACGAAATATGGAGACACGAAGTATAACATTATCATGTTGATGCAATTCACTCGTATGACTGCATCTCGGCTCGATAATACAAATGCTTCTACATGGCTATGGAAGATAATAGAATACGTTTACGGTGTTTTAGTATACGTAGGAAAAACGTGGCCCTGAAGTGTTACACTATCTAAATAGCAGGTTGATATTTGTAAATGTAATGCTTTATATTTTAAAACTATTTTTATCTACGTATAACGATTAGAAAACAGCCAGTCTGTCAAAACCAGTGTGACATGTTTTTATCAGTAGACAATTGAAAAGATAAAAATGTGTTGGCATTCATTTCAGGTGTGTGTTAGATTTATGATGAGCACATCTTTTAAAATATACAACTAAGGGCAGCACATCAAAACGAAAGTAAAACCTAATAATTTTCCAGCTAATCTCGAACAATGCGAGGTGGTGTTACCACACGGTAACCGGTATGTGTTATGTGTGTATACATCAGTCTGACTGGGGTTACCTTGTTTCTACGTGTATTACTTCAAGCATAACAGGTAAAAGAAATTCTTTTTTTCCTGATCTTTAAAACATAATATATTTCAATATATTTGATTCATCGTTAGCATACACACGTACATTATGTAACTAAATTAATGAGTGTGTACATGTATGTAAATCGATATAAACACTGGTTATTTTTAAGCATGTCGGAAGGTTTATTTACGCCCATAAGCGACACAAGGTAGCCTAATCAAAGTACTGAATGAACTGGGTAATGGATACTTGCATGGCGTACAGCCTTACACTGATTCAAACACAAAACATGATAAACCATAATGATTACATAGTCACGCTTTGAACCTTGGCTTACCTGGTTTTACACAATGTACCTTACGCTAGTTGGTCTACTATGGTACTGTTCACAAATCAATATAATACACTGCTTTAGATATCGAACACCAAGTATTTCATCTGGGGACTTATTCACTGTTCATATTCAATTTGAAGAAAAACATCTTTTTTCGTAGAAAAGCTTTAGGGTTAGGCGCAAAAAGAACAAGTTTTGAAAGTATTTTCTTCACAAAGACATATATTTATATCAATCATAAATAACTTTATAAAAGAGATATTACTATACCCATTATTAGTAACAGCAAATGAGAGCGAAATCTTATCAATTTAGTGCCTACATCCGGGATACAACCTAAACCTGCCAAAAATGAACGTTAGTGTGCGTGGATAGATTATATCTCTCTTTGTGGAATGATTGACAGACAACAAGATCTGAATGAGATCAGTAACATTGTTTATAATCTATGAGAGGCCCATAACAATTTCGCGATAGAAGTAAAAACATTTAAATTTTCTGTCTCGTGAAGTTTTCGTTTCCCGTTTGAAGAATCACATTTGAATGTTTACGGGTTAATTAAAGAGATTCCTGAACAAATGAAATTGTTGTTCAGTACATTCAGTTCACACAAATAAAATGTGATGTTACTGTCATGTCCAACACTAAACACAAGCAGGCGAGTTTATCAGGTTTGATTTGGAAAGAAATCAGCATTAAGCGCACTCCATTCATGACGTCTCACTTAGAGTAGGTATTGCCTACATCACGTGACAATTGTTAAGGAGCCTATCCCTACTGTTATAAATACAACTATATGGTTTTTGACATTTTGCATTATTCACAAAAAAACATTGTTTGCAAGGGAAACAATTTTAAAAGGTAGACCCCGGATGTTTATAAACGATTAACAAGCTCAGACAGAAATCAACTACAACTAGTACGACGTTATTATGCATAATTGCAATAGAATCTAGGCCAACAGAGATCAAGGATATCCACAAAGTGATGATGACTGTGTTTTATATCCACACGAGTTCATTGAGTACGAACAGTATTGAATACAACAAAACGTTGTTAAAGACTATTACCTCACATCACAAAGTTGTTATCACAATTGAAATTATCCAAACATTAACTAAGGGTCTGGTAAGTTTAGCAAAAATGGACACAATGATCACTGATAAGGTAAATCAGGAAAATAACCCTTGACGCTAAACATGTTCTTTACTAATAAGATATGGTATACCAAACTTTGAATCTCAATGTAAATTCTGCTTCTCAGGAAAAAGGATAGCACTATACGCCCCAAAAAACGGCATAAACAAATACATGTTGTAGTAATAGAAATAAACATTGTTAACCTTAATAGCAATGACTGTGTACGCTGAACTTAATTTTTGGCTGACTGTTTTCCGTTGCTACATGTTCGCAAAGAATGGAAACTCAAGAACAAAGCACCGAATAAGACGCACACGTACTTAACACACAATACTTTGTCGTGATACACATACATATTTAAGAAATGTCTTTTATTGCAGGGCAAGATAACCAATATGAATGAGAAGCGTAAAGCGACCTTATATATCTATGGACTACCCAAATCAACGTGTACACGACGAGACTTATTCACAATATTTTCCTCTGGTAAGTTTTATTTTTTACACGCCAATCGAAGATGAATAACAACAAGAGTGTTAGGGTCCTATCATCACCCTATAACTATATAAATACAAATATTGGATATTGTATCAAAGATATATCCATGTAACTAGGATTATATGTTGGGTTTTCTCCGCCGTTTGGAACATGGTCTTGTATAGGTCAATATATCAAGAAAGAATTAAAAGTCATTCTTTATTGCATGACAATATTATGAGTACATATATGCTGCTTTAATTTGCCCTAGTTTTTATCTTGGCCCTAAAAATCTAATTCCAGGAATCTTATATGAAAATTATTGAGATCCCTTCCCCTTAATCATACAGTGTATTTAAAACAAGTTAGACATATAAAGACAAACAAAATCATGCTCTCATCATGATTTACCTTATTGAGTCGTTTTTGTCATTAAATGAAAACGATTAAGATCATCTATCATGTAAAAGTAAATCAATTGGCTGGTACGAATATCCGAATTGATTCTTGCCCTAAGGGTCACACTTGCCAGTTGATATTTAGTCGTAGGGACAATAGATAAACATTGTGAGAAATGGTTAGCATATATAAAAGGGTTGGGCTGGGAAAAAGGTTACACAAACATGCCACAAGATTTGGCTCTTATCAATCTTGTCAATCTTTGCCACCGGGGACTTAGTGCTTAGTCCCTTGATTTTAGCATAGAAACGATAGCAGTCCCCACCTAGTAACCATATATACAATTGTTAGACATGAAATGGACAAAGGCAGCTATTGGGTTCTGCCCCTCTTTCGGATTTTGTCCCTTTGTCAAAGCATGAAAAAGTTTAAAAACCTCCACCATTTATCTACATGAACAACTGCTGGGCATGAAGAGATGAATGCATTCATGCAACAATTATCGCGCAGGGGTCCTACAAGATGACAATTTAATATAAATTGATACCATAATCAGTTGCCAATCCATGGAAATAGTTCAAATCGACACCTATTAGCTTATATTCAATTTATGAACATGAAAACAGGGATATAATCATGCAACCAGAATAATTCAGGGGCTCTGGTCTCGCTCCATGGGAACTTAGTCTTGCAAGGTCATTACAAGAAACGGTTAAAATTCCTCCTTACAGCAATATTCACATATGAACAGATCTTAAAAATAATTTCTATGAGGAAGTATTGATGCTTTGGCTCATTTGTTGTACAGAATGTGAAGGAAGAATTGGAAAAGCTCCTCCTTTTCGCAATTAACAAGCAGATTCCATTGATGATGAAACTATTTTGGAATGCTTTCATGAAAATATAAGCATTTCGGTGAAATAGGTATTTTTATGGAAAAATAATCAGTTTTCGTTAATTTTCATCTCTTTGGTGTGTGGCATTGTTTGCAACAATTACAATACTACAAAAGAAATATTTTATTTACCACGAAATAAAACGAATTACACTGTTTGGTTTTGTTTTTTAAATTTCAATGATAAATATGATTATCTAAAAGCAAAAAAACTCACAAACAAACAGGACACATACGTTCATACAAAAGGAGTAAAAACTTCACAATAACGTTTCGATATCGGTTGTTTAGATACTGTATCATTACTAGGCACATGCACAGGTGTTTTTATAATTAATTGAAATTAAATACCCGATACATAATACGGAATGACGACTCGTAATTCCAGGAAAAACAGGCGTATAACGAAGGGTCGAAAGTCCTTCAGCCATTCTAGGTACTGGGCGTTAAAGGAATACCCTTCTAAACATGTCAAAACCTACTCTTACTGAGCAGTTGATCATATTTCAACATATTTACTATAAGGCAAATATCCTTCAAGACCGAGGAACACACACTATATAAACGAGCGGTGTTATTCTAAGTGTGCTATGAAACATTGAAAATGACGAAAAATCTGGGAAAAAACTATATTTGATAAGAATATTTGAAGAAGATTGCTTGAAAAGCAAGGTGTGCAATATGGAACCACTTGACCTCTTTTTTTCTAAAGCACATGCAATTCTATCTAGCATCCCGGTGTCCTATAAAATATTCATACCCATAAGATACCTATCCGGATGAGCATTTTATATGCATAAAATATTTATCCTCCTCCACAATCACATACTAACCCCCAACCCCCTATATTTTATTTAGAGGTTTTACTTCAATAGAAAAGTTATAACATTATAACATCATTTGACCTGCAGTACATGATTCCTTTATGTCTCTCCAGGTAATACACACTAGGGTGTCACTTGTGTGGGGGCTTCGGCCATGGGGGCTTATCAATACGGCTAGGTAATACTGGTGTGGTCATAACACAGGAAAACATACAGACTTATAATTACCCTAGAAGTCATATGTAGGATGATTAAAACAAATAAATACTTATACTGTACTTAGGTTTTAAACCCATTTTTATTCATATTTTTGATTACTAACAAATGATGAGAATAATGTAACTGGCATTGTTACTTCTATACTGTATTCTGAAAAGAAGTGTTTTTTTTATTTTTCTTGATATAACAGTTGATNCCCCCCCCCAAATAAAACCCCCCCAAAACCCCCCAGATAATAACAAAATATGTTTTACAGTACAAATTATTTAAATGTACAGTGTAAAAGTGAGACTAATAAACTTGGCTTAGGTACTTGTTTACTGTTTTTGGAAAGAAATTGTCATTTGTATTTTCTTGATATTGTGGTACAGTTGATATCTTACATTTGTCCCCTCCCCCTTCCCCCCGACAAATTAAGATGTCTAATCAAGAAAGAAACATAATTAAAGACCACAGCATTGAGAAGTCTATATTATGTTGGTAGATAGGTATAATATGACAACAGTATAGGGTAGATGGTGATTTTACGGGGGTAGACAGATATTGTATAGGGAAAGATAGGTATTTTATAGGTGTAGATAGTTTTATGTCGTCATAAAATACCTATCTGCCCTAAACTGTAGTCATAAAATACCAATCTATCCCCATTAATTCCTATCTACCCCATGACACGTCTATCTACCCTATACTGTAGTCATACAATACCTTTATACCCCCATGAAATACCTTTCTATCCCAATACAATACCTATATCTACACCAATGAAATACCTTTCTACCCTATACTGTAATCATGAAAAACCTATCTGCCCTATACTGTAGGCATAAAATACATATCTACAAATGTACTCTATACTATACTCATTTAACACTTATCCATCCCTTAAAATATCATGTAGCCTATGATGCAGTCATACAGTGCCTATCTATCCCCATTAATTCCTATCTACCCAATGAAATGTCTATCTACCCTATATTGTAGTCATAAAATACCCATCTACCCTATACTGTAGTCATAAAATACCTATCTATCGCAATACATTATCTATCTACCCCCATGAGATACCTATCTTCCCTATACTGTTGTCAAAAAATACCTATCTGCCCTATACTGTATTCATGAAATACCTATCCATCCCAATACAATACCTATATCTACCCCCATGAAATACCTATCTGCCCTATACTGTAGTCATAGATTATTTCTCTGCCCTATACAGTAATCATAAAATACCTATATATCCCAATACAATAACTATATCTACCCCAATGGATTACCTTATTACCCTATACTGTAGTCATAAAATACCTATCTGCCCTATAATGTAGTCATAAAATGCATATCTACAAATGTACTCTATATTGTAATCATAAAATACCTATCTTTCCCAATACAATACCTATGTCTACCCCCATGAAATACCTTTCAACCCTATACTGTAGTTATATAATACCTTTCTACCCTTCTACTGTAGTCATAAAATACATATCTTTCCCAATACAATATCTATCTACGCCAATGAAATACCTTTCTAACATTTACTGTACTCATCAAATACTTATCTGCCCGATGCTGTGGTCATAAAATACCTATCTGCCCTATACTGTAATCATAAAATACCTATCTGCCCTATACTGTAGCCCTAAAATACCTATCTACTCTATAATGTAGTCATAAAATACCTATCTGCCCTATACTGTAGTCAAAAAATACCTATCTATCCCAATACAATACCTATCTACCCCATGAAATACCTATCTTCCCTTTACTGTAGTCATAAAATACATATCTTTTCTATACTGTAGTCATTAATACCTATTTATCCCAATACATTACCTATATCTACCCCCATGAAAAACTTTTCTACACTATACTGTAGTCATACAATACTTATCTACCCTATACTGTAGTCATAAAATACCTATCTGCCCTATGCTGTAGTCATAAAATATCTATCTATCCCAAAACAATACCTATATCTACCCCCCATGAAATACTTTTCTACCCTGTACTGTATTCATAAAACACCTTTCTGACCTATACTTTAGTCATAAAATACATATCTACCCTATACTGTAGTCATAAAATACATATCTACAAATGTACTCTATATTGTAGTCATACAATACCTATCTACCCTATGCTGTAGTCATAAAATACCTTTCTGCCCTATACTTTAGTCATAAAATACATATCTACCCTATACTGTAGTCATTAAATACATATCTTCTCTATCCTGTAGTCATTAAATACATATCTTCTCTATACTGTAGTCATAAAATACCTTTCTGCCCTATACTTTAGTCATAAAATACATATCTACCCTATACTGTAGTCATAAAATACATATCTACCCTATACTGTAGTCATTAAATACATATTTTCTCTATACTGTAGTCATTAAATACATATCTTCTCTATACTGTAGTCATAAAATACATATCTACCCTATGCTGTAGTCATAAAATACATATCTACCCTATACATTAGTCATACAATACATATCTACAAATGTACTCTATACTATAGTCATCTACCCCTTTAAAATAATCAACTAGCCTATATTTTGGTCATGAAATAAATATCTACCACCATAATAACTTATCCAACCCCATATAATCCCTTAAGGTGGCTCCACACATCGTCATCAGCGTCCATTTTCGTGACGTACT